ACTATGCAAATAGCATAGGCAAGCCCAATACATTTCCGATAAAGTAACTATCAAGAATAAAGACGTGAGATGTACATTTTTAAAAGTTGTCAATGAGACGATTGTTTCTCCTTTATAATAACCTTTTGAAAGAGACAATTTAATATATTGGTAGTCGATAAAAAATTCGATTCTAAATATAACGTACCCTTGTCATGAGTTATTTTCTAGGCTCATTATCAATTTGGATAGGTTAGGGGAGTCTTGAAGAAGGAAACAAAGGGATAATTTCACCTACTCTTGGCCTTGCCAAAAGGGTGTGTACACAAACTATTTAACTTTAAGCTAGGCTGAACAAGTCTATATAGGTAGATTATGCTTGGAATTTTGCTTAACAATAGTCCTGAAATAGAAATGTTTGCACTGCCTTACAATCGTGTAGAAACATAAGAACATATAAAAGCATAAAAACGAACGTTGTTCACATTGAAATGTATTGGGAGATTTACGTCAATTGGAAGAATCTTAATTTAATTCTGAAAAAAAAAAAGATAATGTTATTTATCATTATAATGATGGAACATTAGATAGAGGGAGATTGAACTGTCATATCACATTATTCCTCCTAAGTTGCCACATCACCGATCGGTGTGAAATTTTTATCGCTAATATGCCTTACAAAATGGCAGCTTGTAAAACACGCTACATGTATCTTTCTAGTGATGAAAGTCAGTTATAGTGTCAAGTAAAGTAGATATTAATCTTTACTTTTAATCATCTAAATGGCCTTTTTCGATTTTTTAAACATCAAACGATAAAATCTTTATTCAAGCTGATCGTTGCAAACTGCAGGCGACAAGGAAAATGGAATAAAATCAGTAGCAAGAGAAGCGGGTTTATGAGCCACGCATTTTCTTCACGGGACATCAAGCAACACGTACCATATATTTTTATATAATCTCAAAATTTTCTTTCGACTCAAAACACGATGATTGTCGCTCTGTCTCGAACCAAGGGCGGAGGCCCATTAGGTCCAGTGCAAGCAAATGCCCGCACTGAACTTTTGGGCCAATTTTTTTTTTATTGGGCCAAATTTTTTTTTTAATTAAACCCACATCCTAGCCCAAAACACCCAAGCCCAATACTGAAAAAACCTTCTTCTTCTTCTATCATTTGGAATTGGGGCAAATCGACAGTTCGCCCTTCGCTAGTTCGCCCTCGCCCTTCGCCTTTCGCCCTCGCGAGTTCCAACTTCCAATAGCTCATCTTCATTGTCCCTTAGCCCATTCCCACTTTGCCCTTCTCCCGTTCCCTCTTCGCCCTTCGTTCACCCGCAACCCGTTCCCGCTTCAAGCTTTGTTCGACACTTCGAGCCTCGAGGTTTGAGCTGCAGCAGAAGAAGAAGTGAAGAACTGAAGAAGAAGCCAAGAAAGTGAAGAATGTTTGTTATTTTGCAGTTTTTTTCTGTTTCTTTTCATTTGTATAATCCTCTGCCCCTACTGGTAATAATTGTTCCTTTTTTTGATGTTCAATTGCTGGATTTTGATGTTCAATTGCTGGACTTTGATGTTCAATTAGGATTTCATTTTGTATAATCCTCTGCCCTGCCCCTGCTAGTAATCGAGTTTTGGCTTGCATCTTACTGGACGCTGGTTGCTCCCTCGGTCCCTCTTGTCTGCCTGCATTCAGCCTTTGGCCCTTGCCTGTGTGAGGTGAGTGTGAGTTATTTGAATTTGTAACTAGAAATTGAAATCATGTATTGCACTGTGAATTAAGTATACTATTACCCTGGGAAATGAAATTTGAATAAATGA